TGTCTCTCTCTGTCTCTCTCTGTCCTTGTCTCTCTCTGTCTCTCTCTGTCCTTGTCTCTCTCTGTCTCTCTCTGTCCTTGTCTCTCTGTCTCTCTGTCCCTGTCTCTCTCTGTCCCTGTCTCTCTCTGTCCCTGTCTCTCTCTGTCCCTGTCTCTCTCTGTCCTTGTCTCTCTGTCTCTCTGTCCCTGTCTCTCTCTGTCCCTGTCTCTCTCTGTCCCTGTCTCTCTCTGTCCCTGTCTCTCTCTGTCCTTGTCTCTCTGTCTCTCTGTCCCTGTCTCTCTCTGTCCCTGTCTCTCTCTGTCCCTGTCTCTCTCTGTCCCTGTCTCTCTCTGTCCTTGTCTCTCTGTCTCTCTGTCCCTGTCTCTCTCTGTCCCTGTCTCTCTCTGTCCCTCTGTCTCTCTCTGTCCCTCTGTCTCTCTCTGTCCCTGTCTCTCTCTGTCCCTGTCTCTCTCTGTCCGTCCCTGCAGCTGCAGAACGACAGTTCAGTGAAGCGAGTGGACGTGGACCAAGGTTTCATCAACATCTACCTGGATGAGGTGTGTAGCTTACAGAACATCAGGTGTTCATGTGTGAAAAAGTGTAACTGTGTGTGTGTGTGTGTGTGTGTGTTCACAGCTGAAGAAGGATGTGACACAGATGTACAGTGTGACTCTAGAGGAGGATCAGCAGATCAGGAACCTGAAACCAGCTGTGGTTAAAGTCTACGACTACTACCAGACCAGTAAGGAACTCCTGAAGCCCCTCCCCCTCCTGTGTGGTGGTCTCCGCCCACTGCTGATGTTTGTTTTTTGTCCTTCAGGTGATCGAGCCGTTACTGAGTACTCATCCCCCTGTGCTGAGAGTACGTAAGACTTCTGAAGCTTTCTGTTCTCTTCTCATTAGTCTGATAGTCCATGCAGAGGGGTTCACTACAGTCAACTCTTTAATTCTGACCAAATGTAGACATGATTTATTTCTGTTTAAGATGTCTGAATGAGGCATTGATGAATAACTGACAAAAGAAAACAACGTTCTTTACAGAATCAGAGGAAGCTCCTGTCAGTGAGCTTATTGGAGGTCCACTTCTGGACCTCTTTGTAGCAGAAAACAGCTTTTAAAATAAATTATTTTGTAATAAAATGTGAATTCTGCAGAGTTTAAAAACCAGAGCTGATCTTTAACTGACTGATTCAGACTGGACTCAGGTTTAAAGGAGCAGCTACAACAGTTTCCTCTAATCTGAACTTTAAAGTGTCTGTGACATCAAATTGTTGTCATACATTTGAATGCATTTTTAGAACGAGGACGTTGATAAAATATTGCTGTAAGAGTTCAGTCTTACACTTCTTATAACAAAGTTATAAGACTAATTTGTTTAGCAAGGGATCACTTATTTTGGGTAAACATTCCTCCAATGCAAATGAATGGACACATAAGAAGTGACCGTCAGTCAGTGAATGTTGATTTGATCCATAAATATGTGATCATTTATTTTACAAATCATACAGAATCACTAAGTACACTTAAATGTGGTAATCAGTTTCCTATAAAAGTTTAGAACGGACAATAACAAACTTCTAGCTTCTTATATTGTCAATAAACACTTAAATAGAAACACAAATATCAGCTTAGATGTTAAATACCAGACATTTGAGCCTGTTTATCTTAGGGTTGGCAAGGAAGAGTTTAAGAGAGGAGGAAAGTAAGCTGTTAGCTTTCTGATACTTTATCTTAAATAATGTGGGTTTTAACCAGAACTGTTAAAGAAGCTTAGAGAATCTAAGTTCCGCCCTCTGGAAGGTCAGATCAGAAAGTTATATCAAGAAAAGTGTTAGTTTCAGAACTCAATCTGCCTCCTGAAACAAAACAAAGATTACTGCTGCTGCTGTGTGGTTCAGAACAAAACATTTCATGACCTATTTAAATTATCTGATGAGCACTTATTTAAAACATAACTTAAAGAAAAATGAATTTCTTTAAGTTCAAACATTTGCAAATATGATTCAGACAAGTAAAACATTGATATTTGATTCAGACAAGTAAAACATTGATATTTCATCAACTTAAACCATAAAGATTATTTTAGTTAAATAAGATTTTTTCCACAGAAAAACCATACATAGCTGAAATCATACTGAGGGAGAAAAGAGATCTGTCTTTTCTCCTGTAACTTTGATAAACATTCTCTGATTATCAAAATGTGTAATAACTTTCAGTTAAGAGAACAATAAATCAAATAAGAAGATTCTTCTGTTTATTATCTAATTAAGAAGGAAGAGAATGTCTCTTTGAAAGGTTAAGGTGACCTGAGGTGGCCTAGATTCAGTTCTTAGTGGAACAGTTTTTGTCCCTTACAGGCCCATCAGAGGACTGAGTCCGAGATAGTTCCTTGATAATGTGACTCGAGGTGACCCCTACATTGTAAAATAAATTTCATGTCGCTGAGATGAACAGTTAAGATATTTGCCTGTGAAGTAACAGGAAGTGATGTCAAAGGGGAATGTCTGCATGTGAACAGAGCGTTGCTACAAGGCTAACACAGACTGTAGAGAAGAATCTGATTCTTTAGATTATTTTGAGTCTCTGTAAGAAAATTCGTATTCAATAAACTGAAGTCGATTTTATAAACACAATTGTTAAATAAAGTGATTTGTAGAAGGAATTAAACCATACAACACCAGAACTCTGGATCTGACTGAGGTTTATTGTCTCTGAAGCAGACAGGAAACCCACACTGGTGAAAAACCAGGAAGTCCATCTATTTATAGAGGTTCTTCAATGCCTTCGCTCGCCCCCTGCTGACCTATGGCTGAGTCACAGGCATTCAGACAAAATTCTCAGTTAATGTTATTCTAACGTCTAATTATGTATTGTAACAGATATTTCAGACATGTAACTAATCTGTTATGTTTTGATTGAAATAGGTATAAACACTGTCAACATTACAACAAGGAGAACTTAATAATATAGTGTTGTGCTTTTAACATCAGTACTAATTTCCTAACTTTAAATTTCTTCAATATCCCTGTTCACATGACCAAATCATGTGAACAAAAATAAGAAATTTATAATAAGCTATATGTTCGCATTAAGGCACAAATGTTCACAAATTACCCTAAGCGATACAGCACATCATGGAAAATTTCTCACATCCCACCCCTGATATAAAGTAATATGATCCATTTATTCCACCCCAATCAAAAATAGAAAACATAAACTGAACTATTGTCAAATACCAACCAGGTCAGCTGTGTTTATTCTTTTGAGGCCAGAGGTTCCAGAACATGGCCCACCGTCGGGAACAAGTCCTCAGCACCGTTCTGTCTCCTCCTGTCTTCAGTGGCAGACTGACCTGGTTACTAACAATATATCTGCATATTAAGATTTAACCTTAGCTCATCAACAATTAAACCATACAAAGAACAGTAAAAAACAAATAACCCAAAATGTTAAACCATTTCTAAACATATCCTGCTTAGTGTGTCACTTCTATAAAAAGAATCAATGAAAAACAAAGGAAAATCAAACATTTATTAAAAATCATTTACCATCGACTCATTAACCTATAAAAATCATGTCCGACTACGTGAGTGTAACTATTTCAGTTTTATCATTCTATATCTAAAAAACAGCCATAGACGTTGGGGCTTTTTACTCCACTCTGTCAGTCCTTGTCCTCATAGTATGGATCGTGCGATGGTTCCAGGGATGAATCCTCCTGTTGTCTCATCTGGTAGGCCAAAAGGTGGATGTTGCTCCGATGATACTGAAGCTATCCTGTTTGTCTGGGAGATGGTCTTAGAATACACTCTTATGAAGAAGTCACCACCAACAACAACCACCATAAATGCAATCGGACCACTACCCAGCCACCATTATAGACTCGAGCCTTTTTATCTTTACCAAGTTTACCAACCACTGAGAATCACTGTGCTAAACCATCTCCACAGACCCCCTTACTACACCAGAAATTAGCCGAAGAATACACTACTTCAATGTGACACCACCCAAATGTCCAGCTAACTACTCTTCAATGATCAAGCAAATAACATAACTCAAATGCCACGCATCATCATTTCATTTAACCACAATGTACCTCCCTACTGCCACCTTCAGGCCCAACACGTGTAACTGTCTTCTGATTAAAAAAAAACCCTAGTTTGACAGAAACTGTAACCTTCAACAATTGTTGTACCAGAGAGATGAAGAGTCAGAGTCCAAATGTTTTAACAACAAAAACCAGAGTTCTCTGATGTCACTTCCTGTTTCACTTTGGCTGAGGCAAGTTCAAAAGAAAATATTCCTGTTATGGGACAAAATGGGTTAAATCATGTGTATTATTCCAACTTTTTTGGTTTTTGCAGGTGACAGCGCTAACAAGGTGTGAATGGACTGTGGAGGATGGGATCGTCCTGCTCTTCAGAGGAATCTGTGTTATAAACATGTTTGAAGCTGTTTCTGTCAGGTTGTGTTCAGGTTTAATGTTAATGTGAAACTTTTTCTTTTAACTTTTGGGTTATTTTTGTTTAACTTGTTTACATGTTGACAGTAGTTCTGCTCAGCACTGTAACTTTTGTCACAAACTGAAATAAAGAAGCAGAAACAGGAAACACTTAGTCTTTTTTTTAATAAATTGACAAAAATCCACATTATTCACACAAGGTACCAATAATACAGTATGGTCCTGGTGCGTGCGTGTGCGCACGTGGGTTTTCTTTTTTTTTTGTCACTTCAGTAGGCCCACAGCCCAGGACCGCACCCAGCGGTTCGCCCTTCTTCAGGACCCCATCCCCAAATGGCAGTCGGGGAACAAAGACCCTGACACCCCCACCCCCAGATGTACTGTTGGTGCGTGTTGTTCTATAGAGTAATTAAAAAGGGAAAGAAGAAGAGGCAGAGGCCGGTGTGGTGCCAGTTTCCCCTCCACCACTACTCTAACCCAAAACCCTAAGTGTCTATATGCAAACCTTGGGGGGTGGGCACAGGTACAGGAGGCAAGAGTGGTGCCATCCGGCCACCTAAAGCCATGAGTGCCCACCATAAGTTCCTATGTGAATTTCATGAAAATGTGACGAGTGAATGTCTAAGATGTACAATAAAATTTGGGGCCCCGGTGGTAATGGCAAATACAAATGTAATATTGTTGCTCTTATAACACAACTGTGCCCCCCAAAAAAACCTACATGGGTGAAGTTGAAAGTGAAGAGGATGGAGGTGTGCGGCGAGGGATG